GGGTAAGGAGCGGGTTCGGGCGCGCGGGCGCGTGCGGGCGCAGGGGGGCCCTTCGCCGTTCCCGGAAGTTACTTACTTCCGGGTTCGGCGACCAACCGGTTCGCAGGGACCGCCGCGAACCGGTTGAAACCCACCCCTGGTTTTCCCCCAATAGTATGGTTCGTCTAGGAGGGAGGATAAATGATTAAACTGTCTAAAACAAAGACTTAGTGGGAAGAGTTTTGTTTTATCTTGCTGTTTTTATTTGTTAGACTAGACTCAATCTCAATCAATTTATTACAGTCTTAGACCAGGATAAATAAAAATGCTCAGTAAGCATACAATTAAAAATTCTAGTATAAAATAATAAATAACAACTAAAATCTATAATAAAACCCAGTTTGTCAATTATACATGGTCTAACTATACTAAAATTACAGTCCATAAACTGGCCTGTTGTAGGTCACTGCTAAAAGAGAAGTGACTAAGCAGTGCAAAGGGTTTGCCACAATTGTTATATACCATATTTTTCAGAATATAAGATGCATCGGAATATAAGACGCAGCAAGATTTTGAAGAGGTACATTTTTTTTTAAAGGTTTTTGCGGACCTCCCAAAAACGGACCTGGTTTTTGTTTTTTTTAAATGGCATGAATAGCCTTTAGGAGGCTTGTAGAGTGCTCCTGGGGGGTGGGGGTGGGGCAAAACCGAGCAAAAAATGACCTATTTTCCACTCATTTCTGCCCTCCCCAGCCCCCAGGAGCACTCTGAAAGCCTCCTAAAGGCTATGCACAGCCATTTTTGCAAAGGGGGTGAGGTTTCAGGAGACTAAAAATGCTGTATTCAGTGTATAAGATGCACCCAGATTTTCAGCCTCTTTTTTGAAGGAAAAAGGTGCATGTTATACTCCGAAAAATACAGTAACATCACTATGGTGGAGATGAATCCCTAGTGCTGCTGCGCAGAATCTGGCCACCTGTGCTGTAGTTATGGACTGTTCATCCTTAAACAGCCACTGAAGAAAGGTTGTATGAGAACGGCCAGACTACCTAGCAGTTATTGGCAGAACATGTTTTTTCCTAATCTCTTTGTAAAAGGAACATCTAAGGAGCATGTGACTCACAGTCTCCACCTCTCCACCTCTCCTGAGTCACAGGGACAGAGTCCATCAATGGTATGGGCTAGGCTAGGCTAGGCTAGACTGAACTAGCAGGTAAAAAGACAGACAGACAGATAGACAGACAGACCATGCCAAAGGAGGAGGGAGTGAAGGAATTGGCTATGTCTAGCTTTGAAAAATGGGAATACAGTAGAAAGCAAGATATGATAGCATTGTTCAAATCCTTGAAAGAATATTGCACAGAAGAACCTTCTTATCTGTCATCCCAAGACATAAGACTGAATAATTTTCTCAACTTACAGGAAGGCAGACCTTTTTGAACATCAGAAAAAGCTTCTTAACACCAGTTTAGTGGAACCAATGGTGAGGGAACTGGTGTGTTCCCTTCAGTGATGTTTTTCAGGTTGAGATTGGATGCCTTCATTTGGATTTTTGCAGAAAACTGGATTTGATGCTTTACCCTCCTCTATACTCTGATGCTACAAAAAGCTTGTTCTTTATAAGAAGATTATAGAAGATAGATTTATAAGAAGATAGATTTCATCTGCACTTTAAGGGTAAAAGCATTGTCCAATTTACTAAGATGGATAATAGGCTAAAATAATCTCTTGTGTGGTCTCTTGATATGAATGATCTACAACAGTGTTGTTTCCCAGCCTGGAAAATCTTAAAATTCCAGAATTCTTAGTAGTGTCTATGCTGCCTGGGGATTCTGGCAGTTGAAGTCCAATATCTATAATAAGTGGAACAACTTGCCCCCAGAAGTTGTGAATGCTCCAACACTGGAGGTTTTTAAGAAGATGTTGGATAACCATTTGTCTAAAGTGATGTAGGTTTTCCTGCCTAAGCAGGGGGTTGGACTAGAAGAGCTCCAAGGTCCCTTCCAACTCTGTTATTCTATTCTACCTCAAAATTATCTCAGTTGGGAAATACTGTTCAACCCATCTCCCAATTCATTGGTTCTACGAAGCCATATTTCTATGTTCCAAGATTTCATGGAAACACTTACTAATCTCTTTCCAAGGACTTTAGTGTGTATTCATACTGTTCAGGGGGAAAAAAATTCAAATGAATCAAATCAAACCAAAGCAAGCATTCATTCATTTCCAATCAATGGGAACTTCAATGAATGGAAATGCATCTATTTTTGTTTTTATTACTCTGTAGTGGGAGCATTATTTTGCATGGAAGAAGGAGAACTTTAGTTCGTTCAAAGGTCATGAAGATTAGCCAAAAAGAGAGAACGTTAATAAAATTGTAAGTTTTATTTTGTTTAGATAAGTGGCAGTCTGTGTGTCCATTCTTTAGCACAGTATACTAAAAATGGCTACCCTTTGACATCTTCATGGAATTTGGCAAGCCAGGGACTAATACACCGGAAATGTCATGCCATTTGATTGGAAAATACCAAAGGTTACAGACATCAGAAGACTCATTGGATGGTAATTAAAATGAAAGCAGAAAGAAGGGAGGGAGGATAAATGATTAAACTGTCTAAAACAAAGACCAATGTCTGGGTATTAATGATGGATTTTCTGACATTTGACTGCTTTTGTAGAAAATATGGCTATATTTATAATAAAATATGCACAGCTTTCCATTCCATTTAAGATAAAGGTTCCCCTTGAACACATGTGCTAGTGGTTCCCGACTCTAGGGGGTGGTCCTCATCTCGGTTTCAAAGCCAAAGATCCAGTGCTGTCCGAAAATGACTCCGTAGTCATGTGGCTGGCATGACTAAATGCCGAAGGGACACAGAACGCTGTTCCCTTCCCATCAAAGGTGGTTCCTATTTTTCTCCTTGCATTTTTACATGCTTTCGAACTGCTTACATGCTTTCTACTTGCATTTTTACATGCTTTCTGCTAGGTTGGCAGAAGCTGGGACAAGTAACGGGAGCTCATTCCGTTACGTGGCACTAGGGATTCGAACTGCCGAACTTTCTGATCGACAAGCTCAGCGTCTGAGTCACTGAGCCACCGTGTCCCTATTCCATTCTGTTTAATGCCACCCAATTTAAGTGTGATGGTTGCTTAGGTGGACTGTACATATTCTGTGTTAAACCCCTGCTCACACACACCTTTGTGTTCCTCCTCTAGCTTACGAAGGGTCCTCCTGTGTCGTGATGGGAAAAACCTATCTAAATGGAGAGAGCTTCCAGCCCAGTTGTCAGCTGAAATGTATCTGCATGGATGGGTCCATTGGCTGCATTCCCCTTTGCCCTGATGGGGCACATCTCCCTCCCCCTGATTGTCCCTTTCACCAGTGGGTAAAAGCGCAGAGCAAGTGTTGCGAAGGAGAGTGGGTCTGTGAAGGAAGCCGTCAAAAGACCCCTTACAAGAAAGGTATGGTGGTGAGACGGGAGAACTATGAACGGGGACAGAGAGGAGATGCTGTAATTGCTGAATAAAGGTAGATCTTATGGCTCTGTAGAACTCATCTTGGATGAAGTCAAGAGAAGCCCAACAGTATTGAGGAAGGAGAGAATGAGATTGTTTTATGCACTTAGGATTGGTAAAAGGAAGAGGGTCATAAGAAATTACTGAGTGGCTTCTATGCATGCAGAACTATAGTATTCATTATACTGGGCAATGTCCCCCCCCCCCAAGTTTTTTACTTTTTTACAAACTTATCAATGCGTGAACAGTGTGGCACCTGGGTGTCACACAGTCTAATACAAATAAAACTAATAGAATTAATCATAGTTATTGCTTTCAACCAACTTATATATTTCTAATAGTAATACGTATTTATATTAAGTTGCAGTCTGTCATTATTCAATTCCATGTTTTCTCTAATTATTGCTCTTATTTTATTATATAAAAGTGTACACATTAATATTCCCCCTTTCTCTTATCTTTATCACTTATTCTAACTTTTAATCATGTCACCCTTTACTAAAAAAAACACATTTTCTTTCTATCCTGGCTAACTTCTAATAGCAATAGCAATAGCAATAGCA